CCCTGCATTCTAGGGCACTCTGGGACCTATGTTAGATCAAGATTAGATGCTTTTTGGTTGTTTCACAGAGTAAGGCTGGGGTCCTGCCAACCTTCCTTCATCCTTCCTTCTAGTCCATAAAAAATGAGGAAGGTGAGCTATTTCATTTTCATTTTTGTGAATTACTCCAGTGTGGTGAGATTATCACAGGCTAGGCTGAAATGTAAGGAGAAACTGTTTACAGTAAAAAGGGAGGCAAATAAAAATGGACATAGTATTCATTCACACCCCTTAAACACTTCTTGGTATGGTCATAATAGAGGGAGGTCATGTGAGGAAATGAAGTAGGTATAGGAACAAGGAAAATGAGCCAGGAAGACTTGCAGGGTAAAGAATGAGCAGGAAAAAGCTATGTCTGGCAGCATTTTGATGATGGGATCCTGGGCACCACATGTGGGAGGCCTGTTTCCTCATAAAAGACCAGGTGCAAATGAGGCAGATAGGACCAGGAAGACAGAGAGCAACGTGGCATTCTGGAAACCAATTCATGGCCAGTGTAAATTCCCACATCTAAGCTAGCCAGCTTGTTGTTCTCAGCAACCTAGCAAATTTATTTTGTAGCAAAAGAACACAAAAACAATTCCCAACCTGATACTACTGTTTATTTTCAAGCATTTTGAAATTCCCTCTTAAGTGAACTTCACAAGTCACAAGTTTGCAAGTATCCTGGTGGTTCAAAACAAAAAGAACAAACAAACAAAAAACTACAAGTAGTAGTTAACAAAGGCATTGGAAACACTAAGAATTTATATTACATAATTTCACTTAAACTCTTCATGTTTACTCCATCCGGCAAGATTGAAGGATCGGGACTCAGGGGTGGCTGTGGTGCTTACAAGCTGCTCCTGCCTCCTGAGGTGTGGCCTCTCAGCAGCTCTCCTCCGCACCTTTAATCAAAGCAATCCGGGCTCCGTATTTTTCAGAAACTTGGCAGTTTTCTCAAAAATTACGTCTGTGTGGGCAGCAGCCACTCCACGGTTGACTGGCATATATTCTCCAATTTCAATTCCAAAGACATAGCAGAGAATAACATTTATTAAAGTGACTCTAAGTCATATTCTTCCTGGAAAAGAGCTTGATCTCACCCTTCTCTAGTTTCCTATATGGTAAAGTTTCCTATTTGACATAATTATACATATTATAGGATCTAGGCTTTGGTGACTTTTCTTTATGGAATTACGATGGAATTCCTATTGTCAAATCACTCTGGTGATTACACTTATTTTATATAAACTGCTATGAGTCCTTGAAATGTCTGTTGAATATCATATATACATGTTGAAAACACTGATATACACATGTATTTTAAAACTTAAATAATGAGTCAATAAAATACTGTATTTTTCCTGGAATTTAGAACAAAATATTTTGGCTACCAAATTAAATTCAGAGCTAATATGGGTATGTAACACATACTCACTAAACCACACATGTGAAATTTTCAACTCAACAATGAATGGGTCCCAAATGAAATAGTCACTGACCTAGATACCCTTAGGTTCTGCCACGCATTTTGTTCATTCCATTTCCCATTCTAATAAGTATTTTGGAGCTCAGGATTGTCTGTAAGCCCAAGAAACAGGTATGTGAACTATTTTTCACCACACAAAAGATAACTCATTATTTTGACAGTACCTGTTAGTCAATAAGTGAATGGTGTGATTCAATGCTTTATTCTGAATATAGTCTGGCTCACTGTGCACCACTGAATGAAAGGTCACAAGGTCCTGCATTTCCTATCAGATGTGCAAGGCAAGGAACACATGAAACAAACTAAAATAAGAAGTGCAGTATTTTGTTGACTAAACATTTTTTCTTTTTAATATTAACCTATTGCAGTGTAGTTGCTGGAAACATGCTTTTACTACTAATTCAAAGCACCCTGAGCACTCCTGATTCCCTTAAACCAGAATTTTCAGATTTCCAGATGCAGGATTGCCTCTGGCAAGAACATTTTACCTTTCAATGATATATTTACCTTATATGATCCAACGAAGATGATTGCAGAATTCACTAGGTGTAGGTTAATAATTGATATAATCCATAGTCACCAAATTTTCATGTATCAGTAACAATACAACAGTAATTTGTATGTGTTTTTATTCATTTCCTATTCAAAAAGGTATTCAGGATCTCTAACCATCATAAGTCTCCAGTGAGGAGAAAAACAGGTTGCGTGTCCATGGTTGACAAAGGATTCAAATGCATAATAAAAACAACCATGGTTTAATTGATTTTATCTTGAGAATTAAAATGGCTACTTGATTAGGAGGGTGTGATAAAAAAGAAAAGGAAAAACATTGGCAAGGCGGTTAGAGAGGTAGTAAGCCTGAATATTTGGAAGAGTAAGTTAGAATAACAGTCTACTTTCTAAGAGTTTCTGATTTGGGATGAAAACTTCCCTGAATATTCTTTATCCTCTTGCCTTTGAAGGTTTTAATTAATAATATCAACAGGAGGAGCTGGGACCGGTTTGGCTCAGTGGATAGAGCGTCGGCCTGTGGACTGAAAGGTCCCAGGTTCAATTCCGGATAAGGGCATGTACCATGGTTGTGGGCACATCCAAGTGGGGGGTGTACAAGAGGCAGCTGATCGATGATTCTCTCTCATAGACGTTTCTAGCTCTCTATCCCTCTCTCTTCCTCTTTGTGAAAAATCAATAAAATATATTAAAAAAATACTATCAACAGGAGGAGTTTGGAGTGCAAAATTCCATATGCATTAGCTAAAATGAATTCAACCAACTGGAAAGATAATTTTGCATCCACTGTTACACAGAAAAATCAGAAATGATCACTGGGAGGAAGAAAACTCGTAGAATGAACATTTAACATCTAACTAAGTGAAAAATATTCATTTCTGGCACAAAGAAACCTCAGCTGGAAAACCATTAGTAGTAGCTCTGATCCAGTGCCAATTATTTCAGTTTATCCTTTAACCTGGACATTTAAAATAGGTGGAGACAAAACTAGAAAAAATCTTAAAAACCAGTTGTTCCTATTTTACTGCCAAGATCCATGAACTTTAAATTTAAAAACTTCACACCTCATCAAGTGCATAGAATTTGACATTCAGGCTTGATTCTTGGATGAATTTCCAGGATTTCCTAAATCATTAATCTTGTTTAGTAAGCAACTTCCCCAATTTCTCCAGCTAATGGGGGGAAAAAATCCCTAACATTTACTATAAGTGGCAGGAAGCTTTCACATTGAAACATGGTGTAGCAACTCTTCCAATTAAGTTGAATTTCCTCAGCAGAAGCCTTCCCATTAAGACATAAATTTCATTTTAAGGCACTAATAATAAAGGGTATGAAAACAGCTAGGGATGAGTCAGATCTTTCCAGAAAGAGAAAACATTTCAAAAACAAATCAGTCATCTATCTAGTTTACTTCAACATCTAAAGAAGAGTGAGAACCAAGGTTTTCATGGCTAACAGATTTAGTTCTTTTCCATTCTCCAATACAAAACTTACTTACAAGTTTTAAATTTACATCCCTTAAGAGACATTAGAGAAAAATGGCAAGGGTTTGGAACAAACAAGCAAGCAAGCAAATCTAGTTTGTAGACTAGTCTCATGATTACTTAATTCCGTAATGACAGCATGGAGTGCTCAGACCTAAGGTTTTTGAAGTACTTTTTAAGATCATACACCCAGTGATTGAAACGGTAACAAGGTGCTCCTTTCTATTGTTCTGAAGGGGAAATGTAGAAAAATAATTAATTTTTCATGACCAGGTCAATGGAATTTGGAGAGAAAGAACCCTACTCTGAAACCTGTTTCAGCAGGATTTTCTTACATGAAATAAATTTCACCATGAGAAAAGAACTAAATAAAATTATCAGTTAGTGTAGGAGACAAATGCTAGTAAATGATTGTGGAGGTAGGCATTGTGGAGCAAGATTAAAAGAAAAAATGCTTCCTATGCTCATGTACACACATGCATACAAACATACACATACACACTTGTGCACTCACAGATTTACAAAGCCGTGAGGATGTAGGGAAGGCTCAACACCAGGAGACATGAGCTCAGATATCTCATCTGTTTGCATTTCTACATAGAAATAGATCTGACACACGTTAATACCCACAGACACGCATGTGCAAGGGTCAGCCTCAGAAACAGATGCAGAGAATCCTAGAGGTGCTGGTTTTACAGGAATGATTATATCTGCAGGCTTACAGTTCCGCTTATGTGCAGGGTTTTAATCTTGCATTTCTTCCCAGAAATATCCCCCTTTCAAGGTATTATGTCCTGGAGGAACTAATCTCAATTCCTCAATAGATTTGACTCGGAACAGGACTGTACGAATTAAAACTAGCAATAACATGGCCCCTTTGGGGTTGGAGTAAAGTATTTCTGGATTTAAACAGATTCTGAGGCCCTAGCCGGTTGGGCTCAGTGGATAGAGCTTCGGCCTGCAGACTGAGGGATCCCAGGTTTGATTCCAGTCAAGGGATATGCCTGGGTTGCTGGCTCGATCCCCAGTAGGGGGTGTGCAAGAGGCAACGGTCAATGATTCTCTCTCATCTCTCTCTCTCTCTCTCTCCCTCTCTGAAATCAATAAAAATATATTTTAAATTAACACACACACACACACACACACACACAAAATCCCAGTTTCTGTGTGTGTGTGTGTGTGTGTGTGTGTGTGTGTGTGTTGGGAGAGAGGGGCGGGGCTAGAGGGTGAGGTGAGGAGAGAAGCCAAATTCTGAGTAGAGCTGGAGAAAGAAAAACTTTAAAGTCCAGAAATCAGTATCAACAAAAGACAGGTGCATACAAAGGGGTTCTGACTAAGTATCACTGCAACTGAGTTTGCTGACTGACATCCTCCTCTGACCCAGGGAACTGAAAGATAGTAATTGATATATTTCTTGTTAGGAAGGCTGAGCTGGGGGTGATATGGTGAGTTAGAGGGTGGGGTAGACACAGAGGCCTAAGGCTCAAGTATTGCTCCTAAGGTTTCTGCTTGCCTGATTTTGAAGGAAAGGGTGCTAAAGCGAAAGGATCAGCAGCTGGCAGCTCCGTAGTCCTGGAAGGAAGGGATGTGATGGAAACAGAGCCCGCTATGGACTGCCTGTTGGTCTGCGAAACAATTTTGTAGGCAGCAATGGGCTGGGCTTCAGGGCTTGGCTCATCTTCTGGGCTATAGTGACGGGAATACTTGGATAAAGACTGGGGGCGGAATGATTTGCCAGCCATGGGGCCCGAGGCAGCTTCTTTCTGAGGCTGAGGTCCTTTGTTTCTGTCGTTCAGATGGCCCCCCGATTCCAGGGAGGCTCCCCTGGGGGAGATGCTGTCAGGATGGTCTGCTGCTTGTACAGAATGGGAGGGGAGGTTGGACTGTTGGGCAAAACCAGCCATGGGATACTGAGATCGGACCGAGGAGTACACCGCTCTGTCGAGGCCTGAGAGCTGAGCGGCCTCGTCTGTCTGGCCGAGAAGACCAGCCTGTGTGGGCAACTCCTGGGAGGCGCTCTGGGCAACTGGTATCTCCTCCACACTTTTCTTCTTGGTAAAAGGAGCTCTTAGGAACACATCCGCCTCCTCTGGCTGGGAAGGAGCCACACTGCCCTTGGAGACAAAGGGGGCTTTGGAGAAAATGTCCATTTCGTCCGTGGGAACCCTTGAGCTCCTAAAGGGGGCTGTGGCAAAGACATCCGGCTCACCGACCCCATCAGCGGTTGGCTGTGTGGGGGCTTGAAACTGGTTCTTTTTTCCACCTGGCACTGCCTTTGCTTGCTCCGGGGGGACCTCTGGCTGAGCGAACGGAGTGGCTCCCGCCAGCTTCCCCTGCAGAGGCTTGCAGCCCTCGTCCTCGTCTTCAGACTCCATGAGGAGAGGCCGAGACCCGCTGCAGTCTAGCATGTCCCCCTCGAGGTCAGTCCCTTCCTCCTCGCTGCTGTGGAACGAGCTGTTGCTCGAAGGGCCATCTCTGGCCAAGTAGTCGGACTCTAAGCTGTTCTGTGCTTTTGTGTCGGGTACCCTGGAGGGGTCTGGATACAGGGGCAGGCCTTTAACGCCCGTTGATTCTTTAAAGTGCTCTACGGTTATTACAGGACAGGGATTGGGCTCCCTCTGGAGACCTAGAAAAGCACAAAATGCAGAATTAATGCACAACTGGTTCAACGCTCCTTGGAACATCCAATGGTCAACCCACGGCAGTAACAGTATGGGACCAAATAATAGATGTTGAACATGGAAAAGGGAAAACAGAAAAATAAAAGTCAGGCAAGGAAACGGCACACAGACTGGAACACAACCACTCACGGTCTCACATTTTGGAACATGATAAGCACAATGTACAGGAGAGGAAATGAAGACGTTAGGCACACAGACATTCAGTGCAGCTATGCGATGCTCCTACTCACGGGGCTAGGCACCGACACCTGCTCTAGGAGGCACGGGCACATGATGGAATGAAAACAAACCCAGCCACTCATCTTCACGTACACCATGGTGGTTCTGGAGTGTGCAAATACTGTCTGGGGACAAATTCAATTCAGTATCGGACATGTGGTCATGCTCTGCCAGTAGCTGAGGACACCCATCCTTTGCCCCCAAACAGCAACAAAACACAGCAAGTTTACTTGCTGATTGACATAAAAGTACCTCAAACAGGAATATTGAAGGCACTTTCTCAGGGGAGGAGACATAGCAAAATCATATTAAATTTCAACGTGAGCTGGAGTGGCCCTGGAATTTTGTTTTCTGTCTTCGAAGTTAGCAAAGATCTCTGTTTAAATGATTCCATCTTACATTTCTTTAAACAGAGCAAAATATATGGGAAATTACAGAAGTATTTGCAAATTCTAATATACTAGTCTATTTCTATCTAGTTGAAGTGCCTCAGGGTGCTCTGGCTTTTAACATCAAATAGACAATTATCAGAATGCAAGAGAGCTTACCTTCCAAGAAATATTAGCAGGTTAGAAGTATGTCATTGGGCACATGTTAGCAAGAGGGCAGGAAAAAGGCATATGTAACTAAGCAAGAAGAATCCAGAGAAAGGGTGGTTGGGGGTAAAGGTATCATTTCATCACGGGTTTCCCAACCCACCAGGATAAGAACATTTGGTAAAAAGATTCGGATTCTATAGATGACGTGGAAACCTCTGTACTGAGGTAATTCAACCATCCCAATCCCACGTAGTCCTCTCCCCTCTACGCAAACCATTTGCTCATAGAAACTTCTGCAAACAATATTCCCCTTTAAGTTTGCTTAAAGTAAGCACACAGAACACAGCTGAAGCAGCATCAAAATCAGTTTATTGGGAAACCAGTTACTTGGAGACATTACATTGTAAAGTGAAGCAGAGAGACCCGAACATTTGAGAAGATATTGTACAAAAATACTATACTCTTCTGAATCCTATAACTTTTGAGCAGAGGTTCTTTTTAAATGATTCTGACCTTAAATATTGTTTCCTGAAACAAAGGGTGTCCCCCCGCCTTTTTTATTTCACTTTCTAACAGCTGAAATGCATTTGATGAATCCCACATTAGAGTCTTGAAATTAACTTCTGGACTGGTGCAGATGGCTTTCTGAATAGCATTTGAAGAATAAGTTTATTTTGAAGAGGTTAAATTTTTCCTTAGGTTATGGTTTTACTATATGCACTTGCATGATATGAAAGCATTAGGGGATAGGAAATAAACAGAACACCTTCTCCCTTACAATCTATGTGGAAAGACATAATCCTAACCTCTCAGGCAAGTTTACTGATATTAGATTTGTCACAGTGATTCCCAGATGATGATTTCTGGGAGGAAATTAAAATGAAAGGGGAAAGAGAAGTTTTCCAGAATAAGATTTGCCAAGCAAAGTGGTATGAGAGGTCCCCTCGCCCCCCCAACTCTTTGAACCACTTTCTAACAGTATCAGATGCGCAGTTTCCAGTTGTCAAAACTAAGGCACAAATTCTTAACTTTCCAAACTACCTTGAAAGTTGATGTTATTAAGCTAGTTCTATGGGAGAACAAAATAGCATTTAGGAAAAAAACATGGCAAGTTTACTCAAGCCAATGACTGATTCTGGCATTATATAGATCAATAATGAAAATGAACACTAGTTTGACTAAAGTTAGTGTTTTGGGGGAATTTAAATTAAATTCAGTGGAATATATTTGTGTGCAGAGTTTGTCCCAAAGCAGTGACCTATAGAGCGTGGTCACCTTGGATGCCTGCAGTGTTCGATTACATCTAAGAACTCTAAGTACCAATCAGGGGTGGCCATATCCAGAGTTGAACAGGATGGAAGAACATGCCAGATTCATCAAAATTACTTCAGTTAAAAAGCGGGTTCTTAGTCAAGTCAAATGGAAGCCTGCCAACTTAGAGCATATTCTATCCTTCACGGTGAGCAATAGGAAAATTGTATAATACTTAAAGTTCAGCAGCTTTTAAAACTCACACACATAGCCACAAAAAATATTTTAACATAGAGCTCAAAGGGAAAATGGGTCTCCTGTCCTTCAAAGCAAGGCCAGACTACTACTTATCTCTTTGATGAATCTGCTTACAGGATTAGAAGATACTTGTAAATGTTTCTCCTGAGAAGGCCAAGTCTCTCAAGCTGTCCATTCTTTTTAGGAGAGGGGCAGTGTGACCAAGGCAGAAAGCAAACACCCTCTTCAATTCTCCGAGCTGGCACTTTGCAGACCAAATAAATGCTGGTGGATATGGAAAAGCGCACACAACCACATTCCCTCAGGGAATTTTGATGGTGACGGGACAAGAAATGGAGTAGACAAGAGGAGAGATTCTAGATAACTGTAAACAGAAGGTAGACATTGAGTATTTTGGGAGTTAGATGTCTTTTTTGGAACATGAGTGTGTTCTTGTAGGGAAAACACGTGTTTTCAGGGTGAACAGTCTGTGTGTGAAGATAGCCTTCCACCGTCAGAAAACATGTGCAAAGTGGTCTGCCTAGAAGCAATGGACAGATTTATACTAATTTCTTAGGTAATTAATGGCAGGCATAGCAGATGTTCTTGACCACAACCACAGAGCTCAATGAAGATAGTGACAACTGGTGGGGGAGAGGGGCAGGGGGATGGAGCTAAGGCTGGGACCTGACCACATAGTCTGCACAGGGTCTTCCTTATCAAGAAGCCTAAGGTAGGGCATTTTGTTCTAAGTCTTCTTTGTTCTAAAATTGGGTCATGTCTCTTTTTATTTTGGTTGAGTACATTAAATTAAGCAACAAGTCAAACCAAGTCTTTTGCTTGCTCTGATGTAGGATTGTATGCCAGGTTAAGGTTAAGTGCACTTTTCAAAACTCCATTTTAGTCAATTTTGAGGCTCCAAAATTATATAGATTTCAATAAGAGCTCACATGCTTCAGAGAGTAGGAAAGGAGTCCCAAAAAATATCTGCTGGCTTGGCAACTATCCCCACTAACACTCTATTAACTTCCAAAGCAATGAAAAGTGTTGAATGATTTGGGAAAGGTTTATTCTGCTAATTGTATCAGGTGGACTAGTGAAGGTCATCAGCATGCTTTCTAGAAAATCAAAATGTGAAGACTTAAATTTCTGGCTGGTTATTCCTTAATACATCATGTACAACCAGAATTTTACTTTCCTCTATAACAATTTCAATGACCTTTTGGCTTAGATGATCAAATTAAGCATTTGGTTTTACCATATGCTGTGTAGTTGCATTAAAACCCACGACTGGGAAATAAGGGTTTTGCTGGGAGCCAATATTGGCTAGTGATGCTGTGTCTCTCAAACCAACGGAGCAATTAAACGAGAGAGATTTCTCCCTGGGCACAAAACTGCTATTGCCAACATAACATGTTTAATTAAATTGGCCTGGGTATATTAAAGATGAAATTAGAGGAGGAGAGCTGCAAATCTGTACTCCATTTTACAACCCTGTGTCTGACCATATCAAATGCAGGCGCATGTGGTTTTATTTTCCCAGACCACAGGGTGAAACCAGGGTAGCCAGGACTCATTAAAATGTCCTCAGCATGTCTCTCATATGTGGCCACACTTCCCTTGTGTGCAGGTACTCATTGTCACTCAATAATGTGTTTCAATCCTTTTTGCAAAAGTGGGTTTTCAGCTCAGGAAAACAGCTATTTTAAGTTGTTTATAGTTCTAAACATCAATGCTCCTGTTTGAACAGATAAAAATCTTTATTCCCCTGTATATTTACATAAGAAATTTTTTTACAGATTTGCTTTTATATAATACTTGCGTAGCAATGTTCAAAATTCACATTTTTACTGCATAAGATAGCTTCATGTACCTCTGACTGCTCTGTCTTCTTGGGAGAGTGGGGTAATGACCTGTGGTAAATATACATGCCGTGAGGAGGGGTGTGCAATAGGGCAGAGAGTATTGGCAGGAAAAGAGTACTTTCAGATACTACATCAAAGTGGGAACCAAGAAAGTGTCTTTCATTCTAGCAACTAACACTGCTCGGTAACCCAAAACACCTTCCTCTCCCACCTCAGTGAAGGGACACCAAGGGGAAACAAAATGGTATCTTGTTACAGATTATTGGAAATGGAAGCCATTCAGGATTCATTCTGACTCAAAAAAAACCCCAAGCACATCCAGGAACATTATTAGCACGGACAAGGAAAAGGCTAACTGCTGATAAATGTCTAGTCTCTAAAGAGGAATGAAAGATAGCTTTGTAGTATCTGGAGTATTTCAGTAAATGTTCCATTTTAAACATTCATGTGGTAGTTTCTCTGTTCCAGTTGGCAGCCTCTAATTTGCTAATTCAGTATTTTGGACAATCATATTTATTTATTTTATTTAAAAAAAATTTTAATGAGGTTACCCTGTCATTTTTATCTCCAAACTCTAAGTCAGTGGCTACAGTATCCGGATAGTCTTATAAACCGAGAAAGTTAACAACTCATGGAGCTTACAACTTCATCATGGAAACTTTACTTTGGCCCAATGTCTCTCCAGTTTGCTGGGCTGAACAAGTTATTATCTTCAGACCTTTGGGATGAGGTCAACCTCAAGAGTCCCCTTCGTTCACTTATTCACTGTTAAAAGCAAAGCTGTTTCTGATCTGAGAGAAGACTGGGCAGATTTAATCAAAATGATCAATTATT